AAAAAAAAAAAAAAAAATCATATAGAACTATAAAGACCCAAAAGAGCCAAAGCAATTTTGAGCGAGAGTATGAAAGCTGGCAGTATCACACTTCCTGATTTCAAAGTGTATTACAAAGGTATGGTAATCAAAACAGTATGGTATTGGCATGAAATAGACACAAAACAAAAGGACTAGAATACAAAGCCCAGCAATAAACTCACACATATACAATCAACTGATCTTTGACAAGTGTGTCAAGAATACATAATGGAGAAAAGACGCTCTCTTCAGTAAATAGTGCTAGGAAATCTGTTATGCAAGATGAAAAAGTCCTAGAGATCTACTGAATAACACAGTGCTTATAGTTAATTCTGTATTGTATACTTAAAAATTTGTTAAGATAGTAGTTCTTAGGTTGTATTATAAAAATATGAAATAATAAAGACGGCAGAAAAAAACTTTTTGAGGCATTGGATATGTTTATGACAGATTGCAGTGGTGGTGTCAGAGGTGTATACTTATCTCTAAACTCATTAAATTGTATACATTACATATGTATAGCTTTTTTATGTCAATCATACCTCAATAAGGAAGTTAAAATTCATTTAAAACTGAATTTTTCAGTTTTCCTTTTATTGATTTCCAATTTCACTCCACTGTGGTGTGAGAACACAGTTTTATGAGTTCTAGCTTTGTACTGAGACTTGTTCTGTGGCCTGACATGTGGTCTATCCTGGAGAATATTCTATGTACATTTGAGAAGAGTACAGATTCTGTTTTTACTGAGTGCAGTTTTCTTTCCATGCTTGTTCGGTGTAGTTTACAGCAGTGGTGTCCAATCTTTCGGCTTCCCTGGGCCACACTGGAAGAATTGTCTTGGACCACACATAAAATACACTAACAATAATGACAGCTGATAAGCTTTAAAAAAAAAAGAAAACACATACAAAAAAATCTCATGTTTTAATAAAGTTTACAAATTTGTGTTGTGTCACATTCAAAGCCATCCTGAGCCACATGCAGTCCATGTTCCATGGGTTAGATAATCTCGGTTTAAAGTGTTGTTCAAGCCCTTTATTTCCTTACTGATCTTCTGTATGGTTGTTCTATCCATTATTAAAAAGAGAGCATTGAATTCTTTATTATAGTAGGACTGTATCTCCTTGTAATTTTTGCTCCAAAATATCTGGGGCTTTGATATTTGATCCGTATTTTTTATAGCAGTTACATGTTCTTGATGGATTAACCCCAATATTTACTGTCCTTCAACATCTCTGATATCAATTTTTTTTTTTTTTTTTTTTTTTGAGACGGAGTCTC